TATATGACCACTTCTCCTACCTCCCACTCACTCTGCTCGAGACATGCTGGTTCTCTTGCTACTCTCCAGCACATCAAACTCACTCCCACCTCAGGCTTTCTGCCCTCGTTCTCTCACAGAGAGAACACACTTCCCCTAGAAAGCAATCAGCATACCTCACTCCCTTCCTTTAGGTATTTGGCCAAATGACATATCTCAGTGAGCCTTCCTTGAACCAGGTTGAAATTGAAACCATACCCCTCTTTCCACTTACTATTCTCCTTTCCTGCTTTTATTTCCATACCATTACTACACATACCCACTATATTACAATTATACATACACCTATGTGCTTATAGCCAGTCCCCACCACCATGCCCTAAGGTCCATGAGAGCAGAGATTTTTGTCTGTTTTCTTCACTGCTATATCTTCAGTGACTCCCAGGCTGACTCACTGGCACATGGCGGTCATCCAACACGAAATTTTTGATGAATTACTACAGGCCTTGCACAATGCCAGGCACTAAGGAGATACAAAAATTTACAGGAACAACCCCCATCCCCCAGAAACTCTTGGTTTAGTTGGGAAGTTGGATAATTGCTAATACCTTATAAAGTCAGATTTCTAAGGCTGACACCCTAGAAACTACTTAGTTCCTCCCAGACACTGTGACTGCACCTAAGAGGAGATGCCTCCCGGAGGAGGGTATTTTATGGGTTGTGGTTTTGTGGCCGAACCGCCTGGTTTCACATAGACACTGCTAGCTTGGACTAAAGCTAAAAATATTTTAGCTTTTTTTTTTTTTAATCCTCATTTGTGCTTTTTCTATGCACATTTTTTTTTATTAAAATGGTAGAGGATAATAATTTTCAATCTTGGATTATATGCAACTTTGAGTCAAACAGGCCCATATAACAAAGTGTCTAACTGAACTTTTAGAGAGAGTTTCTCTTGATTCAAAACCATACCTAGAACAACATTAGGATGACTACTATTTAAAAAAACAAAACTAAACAAAACAGGCAATAACAACTGTTGGAGAGGATGTGGAGAAACTCGAACTCTTGGGAGTTGGTGGGAATATAAAATGGTGCAGTCATTATGGAAAACAGTATGGCAAAAACAGTATCCTCAAAAAATTAAATGCAGAACTACCATACGATGCAGTATTTCCACTTCTGGGTATATACCCCCCAAATTGAAAGCAGGATCTCAAAAGAGATATTTGCACCCCCATATCCATAGCAGCATTGTTCACAGTAGCCAAAGAGTGAAAGCAACCCAAATGTCCATCTACAAATGAATGGATAAGTAAAATGTGGCATACACATACAATGGAATATTATTTGGGCTTACAAGGGAAGGAAATTCTGACATATGCTACAACATGAATGAACCTTGAGGACATTATGCTAAGTGAAATGAGCCAGTCACAGTGTATGGTTCCACTTACATGAAGTACCTAGAGTAGTCAAACTCATGGAAACTGAAAGTAGAATGGTGGTGGTCAAGGCTAGGGGAGAAGGGGAATGGGGAGTTGTTTAATGGGATCGAGTTTCAGTTTTGCAAGTTGTAAAGGTCCTGGTGATTGACTGCACAACAGTGTGATATACTCAACACTACTGAACCATACGCTTAAAAATGGTTAAGATCGTAAATTTTCCATTATACATATTTACCACAATTAAAATTTTTTTCATTAAAAAAACACCTAGAAAAAGATAAGAATCTCCCTGTTGGACATTTAAATACCTGGGCACCAACTCTTTCTTGTGCAAGCACATCGGTCTCAGTAGATCAAAACAATTTTTTTAAAAGAAGGAAAAACATCAGCAGGTATTAGATGGTCTACAGTGGGAATACCACAGTAATCTAAAGTTTCTCTATATTCAACCCTTCCTCCATTTCCTGAAATGATTGTCTTCTGATGAAATCAATAGTCCCCAAGTGAGGAGTGAGCTAGAGGATACTTTTCACACTTAGGATTCACCATCTACTGATGTAGCCTGTCACAAAGTATAACTGGTTCATGAGAGACGGTGCCTCCAAGAGATGAAATGGTTAAGGAACTAATGATATGGATCTTGGGGCTTAATTAAAGACTGACCGGTGAATAAGATTTCTTCTCATTGCAGGCAGAGGACCCAGCATGAGGAAGACAGAGAGGCCTGACAGGGAATAGTGTATGTGTCAGCATTGGTTTCAGTGAATACTTTGGTGTTTGTAGCCATGAGCATGCATAGGAAGGACTAGTGATAGAAGAGAACATTCTATTCATTATCTTTGGGAAAATTATTTAATCTCTCTAAGCTCAGTTTTCTCATTTAAAAAGTGGAGATAGAACTGCTAACCTCACAGAGTTGTTGCAAAGGTTAGATGAGATTAACTGAAATGTCCTGTTATACTGACTAGCCCATGAGACACATAATAATTGTTAATTATCAGTATTATTCTGGAAATCATGAAAGATCTCATGATCCAAGGCAAAGAATTTTAATTATAGCCTGTAAAAATGAAAAGCCAATAAAGGGTTTTTTTTTATTCTTTAAAAAAAAACGCTTAAGAGCAGTATGACTAGATGTACATTTAGAAAAAAATATTCAGGTGACATTTTAGAAATGGACAAGATCACGGAGCAGTAAAGGAAGGGAGACAAGTTTGGAGCCTGGTACAAGTTCCAGGTGACAAATAAGGAGTGTGCGAACAAAGGTAACTGACCAAAACATCCAAACGGATCATGTTTATTCTCAGTCAGCAGGAATGGGAATATTCAAGTGAGCATGGGAAAGGTTTCTTTTTGTTTATTTCTCTTTGTGTCTCCCAAGAGGAAAAGAGATAGCAGTAAAAATAATAAACAAAGTTTTCCTGCCCTAGGCCCTATAAGCAAGTAGCCAAGGTCTATAGTGCTATGCAGGGAGCAAACTGACTGCAAGTTCTTCTGAAACTGAACTTCCCAGAGCCTGAAACATACAGGCATAGGACATAAATACTGGGGAGATTCCATCACTGAGAAGATTCTCGTTGAATTATTCACTCTCAGCTAAAAGAAGAAGCTGCTTCTGGTTAAACAGTGAAATAGATTCCCAGATGGATCTGGGTATTTGAAAAATCTTTTGTATAATCCTATTTAGATACAACAAGGATTTTAAAAATATTTTTACTAGCAGTACTCTTTATTTAAATTAAATCATGCACAGATCAACAATATATAAAAGACATGAAAGTCTTGAACTGTTTTTGACTAAATATGGATATAATACATTTGAGGCTGGCATGGAGAAGATGGGTGGGAAGGAAAGAAATTTCCTCTCAACAGCCTTCTCCACGATCCTTCTAGAAACCAGTTTGAAAACCACTTATGCACAATGAGCAAAACTTTTACCCTTGCACAGAAGGCAGCTTTTTCAGTTTGGAGTTTGAATGATGCCAAATAGGAGTGCACAAGTAATAGAGTGAACTTTTTTTTTTTTTTAACATCTTTATTGGAGTATAATTGCTTTACAATGGTATGCTAGTTTCAGCTTCACAACAAAATGAATCAGTTATATATATACATATATTCCCATATCTCTTCCCGCTTGCGTCTCCCTCCCTCCCACCCTCCCTATCCCACCCCTCCAGGTGGTCACAAAGCACCAAGCTGATCTCCCTGTGCTATGCGGCTGCTTCCCACTAGCTATCTACCTTACGTTTGGTAGTGTATATATGTCCATGCCTCTTTATCGCTTTGTCACCGTTTACCCTTCCCCCTCCCCATAGCCTCAAGTCCATTCTCTAGTAAGTCTGTGTCTTTATTCCTGTTTCACCCCTAGGTTTTTCATGACATTTTTTTTTTTTTTAAATTCCATATATATGTGTTAGCATACGGTATTTGTCTCTCTCTTTCTGACTTACTTCACAATAGAGTGAACTTTTAATATATTAAGCGTATATCCCCACCCATGCCACCTCTTTGTTTTCTAGACTTTACCTAGGAGTCAGATAACATTAAATCCTCAGGGTCAGAGCCAAAGCAATCACAGCCAGAGAACAAAGAATTCTAGTCACATAGGTTCTGGTGATACACATTTCAAGCCTCAAATTATACTTCTGTAAATCCATGTCATAAACCATAGCTTTATGAAATGTGGTTTTATAATTTTTTTAAGTCTTTATTGAATTTGTTACAATATTGCTTCTGTTTCATGTTTTGGTTTTTTAGCCACAAGGCATGTGGGATCTTAGCTCCCCGACCAGGAATCGAACCTGCACCCCCTGCATTGGAAGGCAAAGTCTTAACCACTGGACAGCCAGGGAAGTCCCAAGATATGGTTTTTTAAAATATCAAAAAATAATACTTTTAGAAGAATTCTAAACTTATCAGCATGAAAAATAAGTTTAGAAGAAGTCTTGCTTGGTCACTTAAAGAGGAGAATAAATGCTAGTTAATTCATTAATTAATAATATTTCTGAAATCAGAGAAGTCATGGGCATTCTGACCGCTTCGCCCCATTCCTATCCCTTGAGAGTGGGGAGGAAAGAATGACCAAAGTTCCATTAGCTCTGGGGAATTCTGAAAGCTGGGCCTCACTTCCCATGCACCAAGGGAAGAGACAACACACCTAGCACAGATTTTGATACATTTATCCCACCATCAATATGGTCTGGCAACAGTAAATTTAAAACAGTTTAGGGAGAGAGGCACTGCAAGGCTGGGTCCCAAAGGGCCATGAGAAGTATCTGAAAGCTTCCTGTGCCTCCAAGAGGAGCATGGGAAGTGGCCAAATGAGGGCCCCAGTATTGGAGCAGGAATTTCAGGCTTATTTCCCTGAACTAACCAAGTCAAAACCTTAAATGACTTAGTAATCACTAATTTAACTGAATTTACCTGATGTTTTCTGCCGGTGGAGATGGAGCTTTGAGGTAAAAAACGAATTCAGTTATAAGAAAATAAAGCAAGCACATTTTGTGCAACTGAATTTATGACTTGTGGAAATCTGTACCCAAACACTAATAAAGAATATTTTTGCTATCAAGAATCCCAATCTATGCTAGAAGTTAGCTTTATTAAAGCATCTTCAGATGGATCATAAAATTTAAAAACAGAGATATACAGTAGTTTCTCCATAAGGACAATAACAGAACCGTATTTTATTACAAAAACCCTTGGGGGCAGATGAGTTTCTGAACTCAAGACTATTTTAGATTTTATACAGGTAATATGTAATATTATATATTACCCCAGCAGGGTCTGGGATAGCACATCACAATCAATCAGAATATGAATATACACACTACATGAGATAAAAACTACAGATAAAGACAAGTCAGTGCAATTCAAGTTTTGTCTCCAATTTGTTTCAGATTAGTCTAGGTTTTGCTACTAAATGAGTTATTTAAAAGCTTTCAGTTTTCAGAGCATCTTGAATTTAAGAATTGAAGATAAGGGATTATGAATCTGTAGAAAATTTCATATGGTTCAGAGAAGGTATCAAAACAAAGTGAAACTTGAGTTGCACCTTGAAGACTTGGAAGGACTCTAAAGGGGAGAGAAGAAAGACATACAGACAGAAGCAATGACCTGACTACAAGATGTAAGAGAGGACAAATATGTCTAGGAAATCCAAGTAAATCAGATTGGAAGGGTTGTGGTAAGACCTAAGATTTTAAAGGTAGGAAGAAGGAGAAGATAGGAGAAGATTTTGGAAGGTCAGGCTAAAATTAGAGAATTTTTGTAGAAAGCACTCAGAGGGCACAGTGACTTTCAATCTAGAGAGAGTCGTGATTATTGGTACACATGATCAAGTGCCAAGAGCTGAAAGCTTCTATGACAAGATACAACAGCAAGGGGAGAAGCAGGAGGCTCACACTGGTCCTGTCCCAGAGACCAGTACCAGACAAGATTCTGTACAGTGTTGAAGGGTTTGGTCATCTTCAACCTCTGTTCAGAATACACTCAGGACCAAGACTTTAAGATGAAACAGCAGGATGTCTCAAATGGCAGTCAACAGGAACCAGATGTCCCCATAACACAGAAAACCACTGGAGGAAGAAAAGGAATTCATATTTCATTAGTTTCAATACAATTACAGGAGTACCTCACACGTGGTACTTATTGTTTAACTGCTGTTTTAGTTAGGAGAGGTTGAAATCTAAAACATTTTATTTCTTGCTCAAGTTCCATGGCCAGCACTTGTCTGTGGAATTCTCTCCTGTCTACAGTGTCCCAGAAACTTCAGTTGACAGAGGTTCTACCATCTTGTGCCTACACCAGCTCGAATGTGTGGTGTCCCAGTTTGCCTTGGCCCAAAAGAGACATGTGTCTTTTCTACTTTCTATCTATTGATGGCCCCAAAGGAGGCTAGGAAATGAAGGGAAACAGAATATTTGGTGAGCGCTAGCTAAGTCACAACTGACTTATCTTATAATAATTTTATAGATTGTTTTATAGATTTTATAATAATTTTAATTTTTTTAGAAATAGATGTCTCAGGATAACTTTGTGGAATATTGAAGAAAATATAACTTTACTTAGCATTAGTTGTAAATATATTCTTGCTTTGCTTATAAATCCGCACATTGTGAATTTTACTGAAAATTCTTTCCATGCCAAAATTCAAGACATAAATTAGACAATACTGAAATAATTCAGCAAATTTTAACTCAATAAAGTTTGACATTACCTTGTGAATTTTATATTTGCTTGGGTATCTATCCCTTACCCCAAGACTTATTATAAAAGCAATTGCTTTATTTACCAAGAAATAGTATTTATCTGTAAACCTTTTCCAATCAAGAAAATGTTCAATGATTATAAAGTGGGCATATGATGTTTTTTCTTCACTTTTCCAGATAGGAAGCAAATTCAGTCCAGGGCAGTGGTTGGGGGTAGACATCATCTTGACAATCAGAACTATGATTTGGAAAGATTAATCTGATGCCAGTATTCCAAATGGGCTGAAGATTGTAGGTAAAGAAAGCAGATAAGCAGCTAATAAAAAGTTCAGCTGTGAAGTAATGATTGTGTGCCATTTCACAAAAGAAATACTTCATGAACAGGAACCTTCTTTCAGGCTAAGACAGGGACAATTCAGCCTATAGTGTCTAAACTTCATTAGGACAGAGGTTACCATGCAGAGATGATGTCTTGGGACCACTGGATCTTCCAGCTTCCCTTTCCATTTCATTGGTGCCTTCCCTTAAGTCAGAGGAGATAAAGCTGCTGTGGCACTGACTGTGCCACAACCACAGGCCCTGACTCACACTATTGGTAAACAGAGTAGAAGTACTGTCACAAGGCCTGGGGCTTGCTGAGGAGGAAGCCTGAGATAATAAACCCCAGAGCTTAATTTAGAAGAACACTTACAATGATAGGCTTATGAAATAGCACTTTACTGCCATTAACCAAAAAAAGAATGTGGTGGCATTTCAAAAAATATAAACTTTGTGCTCTTTTTCATTCATAGATCACCTAAAGATGAAAACTTTAACTGCGGGGAAGCAACCTTGCTAGTTACCAAACTTTACGGCATTCTCAATTTTTGGCAGAGGCATCCACTTTATTTATCTTACCTGTGGTCGGAAATAACCATTGGTTATTTGGGGGGCGGGGGGGTTGTCTGTCTGTTTATTAGTTTAATTTGGTTCTGTTTTAATTGGTCTTGAAGTTAACGTGCTCAAGAATTTGCAGTAGAAAGAAGTTCTATGAAGGCAGCAGATTCTTGATTTTTTTTTTCCTTCTCTAAGATTCCCCATTAAATGCCCACATTCAACCCAATAATAATTAGAGGTACAAAAAAGAAGTGAAGAGTAAGCTCAACACGGTAAAATTCTACCTCCATGTGTTCCACTCATGTAGCTTTGTTCCCCTAACACTTTTCTAGGCACAAGACACCTATAGGAGAATAAAAGCAAGCTATTGGTCTCCCCTCCTGCCCTTCCTTCTTCCCCCAACCCCTTCCCCAGCACACACAAACACACACAATCACTCATTTCTTTGAAAACGATAATTACCATCAGAAACATGCAAGGTTAAATAAAATGTTCTTTGGACTTACTAGTAATTCACCTATGCTTCCCATTTTTTTTGAGACTCTTTAAGAAAATGCAGAGAAGGGTGCTGTGCCAGATGAGTCAAGAAAAGCAAACTACAGTCCTCATTTTCAAAAGAGGAATGAAGTTGGAGGCTACAAACTCCAGATAAGTGATGGAAATATTATCAAAGATATTAGTAAACATGGTTTGTGAACTTATAAGGGGGAATGATGGCTCACTAGAAGACGTCACGTATACTCTAAGAACAAGTCATACAAGACTGAGTTCATGTCCATTTTTGAAGATTCAACTCATGAGAGAGCAGGAGAACCTCATGGCTATAGTGAGTGTATCTAGATTTCATAACACATGTGGTCTTTCATAATCTCCATGAACTCTGATTAAGTGTGGGCTGGATGCCAGTACAGATGGGTGACTTAACTTAGAGGTGAATAGCTAAACACCCCACGTTCAGGATCCATGCCCAGCTGAGTTAGTTTTCTAGCAGCTTGACACAGGGCTCATTCTCAGAGCTCATTCTCTGTGTTACTTAACCCATTTATCAAGAACTTCCATTGGGACCTACGTATCAGGGACATCAAATCTGCACAACTTAAAATTATAAGAGTTGTTGACAATTAGCTCCAAAGAGATCTCAGCAAGATGAAATAAGGAGCCATATCTTAAAACACATGAGAAATAAAGCCTTGCTTTAGAATTTCTCTCATAAAAGCTGAAGCATCTTTAACTTTTTAATGCTTCACCTATCATATTTGTCTCATATTTTTCCTAATGTGCTATTTACCCATAAATTGCCTTTCTGGCTGTCTGTATCTTAAACTTTAATATATAGTGAAATCTAAATACTTTTCCTTTGCAATTTTTTCAGTGCCTTTATATTTAGAATTATTTTTCTCAGCCAAAATGCAGATAGAGGGCTTCCCTGGTGGTGCAGTGGTTGAGAGTCCACCTGCCGATGCAGGGGACACGGGTTCGTGCCCTGGTCCGGGAGGATCCCACATGCCGCGGAGCGGCTGGGCCCGTGAGCCATGGCCACTGAGCCTGCGTGCCCAGGCCACAACAGTGAGAGGCCCGCGTACTGCAAAAAAAACCCACAACAAAACAAAAAACAAACAAACAAAAAATGTAGATAGAAATTAACAATACTTTTAACATTGTTTATAGTTTAACATTTTACCTTTAATTTTTCAAATTATTTCTAATTTATCTGTGTGTATTGTATAAGAGTAGGCTTCAAATGTATTTTTGTTTTAAATATCCAAGTGTCCCAATAATTTATTGACTAATCTATCCCCTCCCCTTTAATTTGGCATGCTTCCTTTATCACCTCTTATATTCTTGTTTTTCCTAGGGTGTGCTAATTAATTATCTTTCCTAGGGTGTGTTTATTAATTAATTAATTATCTTAATTATTTATTTATAATTAATTATTTTTATATTATATTTTAATATAATAATAAAATATAATATATTATAATATATATAATATATATAAATATAATATATTTATATTATATTTATAATTAATTATTATAATTAATTATTATAATTAATTATTAATTAATTAAAAATCAGAAGACTAGCAGAAAAGATCTTCAACAGCTAAAGATATAAAGAAGGATAATTACAATTGCAAAATACCTAAAAGTATTTTAAAGGTTTAATTTCAAAACAAGAGAAAGAGAGCTGGCCTGAAGTGGGAAGGAGGAGAGAAAGTATGATAGAAATTTCCCATACAATATCAGTATTCCTTTAGAATTAATATCCAGAAGAGGAATTGTACTGTCAATGGATTTCATATTTATGACTTTAAACATATATTGTCAAATTTCCATCTGTCAATGTCATGAATTTAAAATTCCATCTAGTAGTATATTAGAGTTTGGTTTCTTACAACAGCTTAAAACCTAATTAAACATTCTAAGATTGTATTTTTTCAAAATGCAAATAGCTGTATTTTTTCTGAATGTAAGAGTGACGTCTATTCATTGAAAACATTCAGAAAATAAAATATGAAGAGGAATATTTAAAAAGAAATTTATTTAAATTTATTTAAATTTTAAATTTATTTATTTAAAAAGAAATTTACCGTACAACTCTGCCAAATTCTAATCTCTGTGTTAAGATCAGCAAAGGAAACCATCCTCCTTTTTCTGCATGTCCCCTAACTCTACTTGAGCTTAAAAACCTACTTTTAAAGCAAGTTGGAGAACTGTTGGAGTAACAATTATCACCACATGACTGGAGGGATGTCCACAAGCCATAAGGAACTGCTAGTCCTGCCTGGGTGTTACTCCACCTTAGGAAAACACCCCCAGAATGATAATGGTGGGAACACTGTCATTAGAGTTTCACAGAGCTAATTTAAATACTGTCACATCCTGGCTGTGTGACCTGGGTGTGGTTCTAAGTATCTATTTCCTCTCTATAAAATGAGATATCATTGGACTCTTGTGAGAATTAGATGAAAAAATGAATGGATGGCATTTGACAGTGCTGAGCACACAGTAGGTATTCAGTAACAAATGGCTCCCTGCCCCTCTCCTAACTGCATCTTTCCTGAGAGAGCCCAGGGGTATGCGAACAGAGCAGCCACATTCTTTGTCCTTCATTCCGCAGTAAGACCAAGACAGAGGTTTTACTAGGAGTAGTGGCCACACAGGTTTCCCAGTCATCGTCCCCCACTGACCTTTGACCAAAGTTAACTTCTGTGGCAACTACCCACAAGGTTTAAGAGACCAGTTAATGACCCAAGACCTTCCTCCTATATAATATTTTCCATTGATCCCTTTCCATCCATTCTTTGTCCTGAAGTCTGGCAGACAATTGATTCAAGTGCATAATATTATAGAACCTCCCCAGGGTAGAGGTAGTGGAACAGAGCCTAGTCTGACTACAAAGTTAGTAGTGGAATCACCCGAACCACCTCTCATGTTTCTAAGGGTGGGGGTGAATCTAAGGATTATAGGGAAACAATTTGAACAAGA